CTACACGCCTCTCTCTCTCTCTGTGTCTCTCTGTCTCTCTGTCTCTCTCTCTCCCCCCCTCTCTCTCTCTCTCTCTCTCTCTCTCTCTCTCTCTATTTATCTATCTAACGACTCTTTGAGTCATTTTCTTGTTATTCTTTTTCTGATTTCTTTAGATTAAAAAGCAAAACAAAAACAAAAACAAAAGAACAACTACTAATAATATGCCTACTAATAACAGGCTACCGATATAATGTGTGCGTGCCGCGCGCGCGCGCGTGTGTGTATGTGTGTGTGTGTGTGTGTGTGTGTGTGTGTGTTTTCAATGAAATTTGATGTATCGGTCAGGTATATTTATAGAAGGTCCTGCTCGAGAGGGGAAATACCGACAAGTTCCCTCCGCTTCTCCGTGGTTCATAGTTTTATATTTAAAGCGTCGTCACGCGCTAATAACTTAGAGTAACGAGAGTGGTAGGCACCTGGTGATTTGCTATTGTTACTGCTGTCGTAGTGCTTCATGATTGCAATGGTAACCCCCCGGGCTCCCCCGGTAGTCAATTTGTTTGAGCATACATACTCCCTGTGGACCTCCTGTAATTTGATTTCCACAAACATAATAAAAATCACCCTTGGAGATCCACCCCCCCCCAAAAAAAAAGGGGGGGAAAGAGAAAATTAATAGGCTAGAATCTAGAGAGAAAAAAAATTCCGTGGACCAAAGTTGCCTTGCATAGGGCATAATCTTGAAGTACGAAACAGTAAAACAGTAAAACAGACACCAACACTCGAACACGCGATAGATCTATAAGTCCTTTTACTTTTGGGCCAGCCGTTAACATAAACTTTTTTTCTTCTGACCTCTTACCGACCCCGCCTCACGTTTCTTGCCTTGTCGTTTGTTGCCCCCCTCCTCCCTTCCCCACAAACTCACCCCCACCCCCCTTAAAAAATATATAAATAAAACAACCCCCAAAAAGTACAACTTTTAAAAAGTGAAAATGAGAAACTGTCCAGAGTTATGATCACAGAATATACAAGTTTTCTCATAAAACAAAATTGAGTCAAACGACAGAAAAGAATGATCCTGAAACAGCACCTAAACATAAACTGCCGAGATACATCATAATATTAATGGCTTGGACCAGTTTGAAAAAAAAAGATCTTGCATTCATTATACAGCTCGTAACACACACGGCTGAAGTACATTATAAGCATTGACTCTGTTCAGTTTCATAACAGGATCTTGATATCTGTGTTCGCTTGATTCCCTGCTGTTCCACTTTTTCAAATCTCAATGACAACAAAACAATATCCAAAACTCTGGACAATTGATAGATACCTGTGCTCAAATAAATCTTGTGAAATATTAAAAAAACAAAAAAACACAGGCATATTTCTTTTGTAGGAACATCAAACAAAATGACATTACACTCTATAAACACCACAAAAAAAACCCAAGAAAAAAGCAAACTTATCAGAACAATAACAAGGAACAAAAATTCTTTTGTTCATTCCTTTGCGTAGATAGAAGCACATTGACACACAAAAATGGTAATTGAGAGCTGGGAAAAAAGCAAGAAATATAAACAGAAACAAGCCCCTCAAATCACCGTAAAAATGAAACATAATCCGGCAGAACAAACTCAAATATCTCCTCTAAATTCTACAGACATCATTTGAGAGATGGAAACTCATTAAACTTGACGTCAAAGACGAAATATTTTCTCGGAAGTTCTTTTGATTTTCCGATGTTTTCTACAGCAATAGAAATCTTCTAGAAACACAAAACTGTAGTTTTCTTTGAGTCAGCTTATTTCAAGCAAACAAATCAATAATCAGATAGAGATTTAGAGAAAAGACAAGGACGACACTTAAACGTTGATGAAGAGGCTAGGGGCAGAATTACTCATAGAATTACTCATTAAGTGTAGGGAAAAGCAGGGGTGGGTGGGTGACCGGGGTGGGGGGGGGGGGGTACACATGCAGGAGGTAACAACAATGAACAGAAAGAAGGCCATGCCAAGGTGGGGGGAGCATAAAAAATCTGGACAGTTTGTGTAATAATATACAACAGAGCTGAGCATCGGGTATTGTAAATGGCGTGATGATATAAGGGCGACCTTTCTTTGAAGAATGTAAGTCTTTAGCTTACAGCACCAACTGTCTAAACAGTGGGAACTAATCTCCATGTAAGTCGTATTTAGAATAGCTTTTTGGGGGTAGTTTTCAAACCCCCCAAAATTGCTTACAAAAATAGTTTTTCCTTTCAAAGACATACAAAAAGCAAATTAATCAATTCTTGGTGCATACAAACACAAACCCAAACACACATGTGCGGAAACACACATACGCGTGCGCACACACACACACACACACACACACACACACACGCACACACATACACACACACACGCACAGAAACGAACACACAAACGCACACGCACACACACACACACACATTATGTAGTCTCTGATAAGAAATGCTGCCTTGTGAGCACTGATAGTGCATGGGTGAGGGATGGAAATGTGAAACAAAATAGGTAGCAAAATTAGAAAGTAAATTCAGGGATGGGCAAAACTCTTTTAAAAAAACAGTTCTTAAGGTGGAAAATGGCACAACTCTGAAGTTAAATTGCAAAAAAAAAACCGAAACCCCCCCCCCACAAAAAAACAACAACCAAAACAAAGCAACTTCTGGGATTTTTTCCTGGTTACAGCAAAAGAATTTCTGGATTTCGGGAGAACCCACAGAGGTTGTATATGATAATATAACACAATATATTGCAAAAAACCCCAAAAGCCCATCCCTGCAGCAAGCAACACAATCGAGTTACCTTCCCTGCCCGCTGAGACGTAGGGGGCTCAACAAAGGATACCTGTGTTTGTGAGGTCAGTGTCAGGGTTAAGAGGTCATTCCACATGCTAAAGGTCAAGGTCACACATTGATATGAAGACACAAGGCCCAGAAGCTAATCAAATGCGCTGTAACATCTCTCACTTTTCATAAGAAATAATTTGTCATGTTTTGATGGGGTACAAAAGTTGAAGTATCACAGGATGCATCATACTCAAATACAATTTCAAGAAAAAGAAAGAGTCCAACCAGAAGATACAAAAGTTGAAATATCACATGATGTATCATACTCAAATATAGAAATAGCTTCAAGAGAAAGAGAGAGTCCAACTATTCAGTAAGAATATCTTGGTGATGATTTTACGGCCATGAGTTACAAGCGCCATAGAAAACAAAATCCAAACTATAATGCAATCACGTCTTGAGGCATGAGACAATTTACAAAAAAAACCCCAACAACAACCTTTTCATTACATACTCCCAATATAAAAAAGTCTAAAGGTAGTCATGTTTTTATGTTGCGTCTCATATGTTTTGCCCTGAATGAGTTAAAGAATGAAAATGGCAAACCTGTGTGTTTTATTTTGAATTTTTTTTGGTAAGAGTTTTACGGGACTTGCAACACAATTAGGTAATATAAGTGCTGAAGATTAGAGGTGTTACAAGGGAGTAACAATCACAAAAAAGAAGGAAGGGAGACAAAGACGATAGATGTTTGATAGTAAAGAAGGAGCAAACCACACTAGAGCACCCTCCAACCACCCACTTATTTTGAATGTCATGCTATTGTAAAGTTAAAGATCAAGTGAAATACTACTTGTTATCCCACCCTTTCTATAAGCACGAATGACAAAGTAAGTCGCTCGCCTTGGTAATCATATCACTGGGTGACCCAGACAGCCTAAACTGAGACAATATCAACATGAGAGGTGAGACGGTGCAAGGTGAGGGGATGACTTTCATGGTGGAACATATTGTGGAGGGGGGGGGGGGGGAGGAGACAATTCATACGTCTGACGTAGGAGAAACTTTGACAGAACTATTTCGTGAATTAATGACCACACAACTCACCATATTTTTTTTCTTGGTAAATATTTTACACCCCTATTAACACAACTTACACCATTCAGGCAGGCTACTTTGACAGGGAAACGTAGCTTTTTTGAGGGAAACGTAGCTTTTTTGAGAGCATCTGAGCAAAGGAATGAATGGAAAACCATGATCGCCGATGTCTGTCGCAGATCTGGCACTGGATGACTTTGACTTCGCCTGTCAAGGCCAAGCTGGGCAGACTGAGTACAAAATCCCACAAAAAGAAGGACAAAAAAAAATCTTCCCCTCCCCTTTCATTAACTAAAGTCACATTTTCCTTCAATTTTACGATTCACATTATCTGGACCCTCATGGGAAAGACCATCGCGCACGCTGCATTCATGCCGCTCACTTCGGATAGACGACAAATCCTAATTCACAACAAAAATGACAACAACACTGGGACAACGCAGAACAGAGACCACAGAGGTCAAGGCCACACATTTTTCACAACACGTTACGGAAAGGGGGGATGAGAGATGGAAGCGACAAACATCTATACTAACGATGTAACTAAATGATTCCATCATCAATACAATCAGGGTACAACATGAGGAAGAGGTGTGTGTGTGTGTGTGTGTATGTGTTTGTGTGTGTCTGTGTGTGTGCATGTGAGCGCGTGTTTTGGGGGGGGGGGGGGAGGGGTCGTGGGGGTATTTGTGGTTCTGAGTGATGAGAGATGGGTGTAACAAACATCTACACTAACATCGTAAATAAATGACTCCATCATCAATAAAATCACAGTACAACATCAGGGTGAGGTGAGTGTGTGTGCTCAGGGGGAGGGGGTGGTGGCGGTGGTGGGAGATGAGAGACATACTATGTCAAGGACCGGACAACTCAGTACACCAACAGGGGAACACTCTAAACTCACTAAAGACCCATTGAGCTAGAACACTTTTAAACTAGACAAAATTTTGACGTTTACTGCATACGCAAAGGTGTACAAAAACTGGCAATGTACAAGTTGGGAAACTAAAGAAAAGAATTAAAGTTAAAAAGAAAGGACTTCACTGTCGCCTCTACAGACACTTAGGGATGGTGGGACCACAATACGGCATCCTATAAATGGCCACTATCGAAGATAGAAAATGATGTGCAAAATCTTATCGAGGTTGCAGAAAATTCAGGATACCATCATCCCAATAGACACATTGCTCCAAAAGACTAGTATCATTTATAGTACAAGACTGTGCAGTGCACTGACAAACCCCACGAGCTTGAGAACAGCGCACAATAGTGCAGAGAGCCTTAAAAAAAAGTTAAAAGCCCAGAAATTTGGGACAATGATCAGCAAAGCCATAAAAGTCTAGGAAAACTGGGGAGTTATTAAGGTCAGACAATATTTCAAGAAGGTTCTGGAGTTCAGACAGATCTTAATTCTCTTTGACTTTGGATAAGAAACTGAAAGAGTTTTAAGTTTGATTTCTGCAACTCTGAGCTTCCATATATTTATTTTTCTGCTGTTTTTATTGCAATGATCATTAGTGAACTCAAAAGCAGACATCATATGGCAAAGAGTGAGATAGATAAAAACCTGCACAAGTTTCGAAATCTCCCTCTTCTCATTCCAAAAATTAAAAAAAAAATAAGTGTAACCATCCCAGATAAGAAACCCCACTGACGCATGCTGAAAACATCACAGGATGACACAATGAGGAATGGCGATGTTAGTAACAACAAGACATAACATGACAAGAAACAACACAACATCATGGTTTGACAAAATACAACATGGCAATAATCACAAAATGACTCCACATCATCATACCAAACGATACAACATCACCACAAGATACAACATGAAAAATCCTCCATAACACAACAATAAGGATGTCCGACGTCAAAAAACATGACATGACATGACACAACAAAGCAAAGACGATGTCAAAGTATGACACAATACGACACAACATGACACACACACACACTGCGACAACACCGACCTGTCTCGTGACAGTGTCGACAGCTGTCGTTCTCGCCACCTCCGTCATTTCATGAGTCACAAAAGGCTCGAAAAATCTCTGCAGAGAGAAAAAAAGTCAACAGGTTCTGGAATTTCACTTCAGTTAAAGTTCAGAACCCTATTAGGCACAGTAAAGGCCATCTAAAATGCACTTTAAGTTATAAGTCACTTAAGCTGGATATACTTTCAGCCAAATAACCACTGCAGTTTGACAGTTTTGGGGCATAATAAATCCCTAACAACACCAAGTCCAGGCCAAAGGGCTAGAACTCAGATGGCCACTGAATCGGAAAAGCAAAATAAAGTAACAACACAAAGACTATTACAGCTAACATATGAAAAACAGCTATAAAAGGAATTGGTTCTACCTCTAAAAATCTGGTAGGGAGTAAAAATATTTCAGGAAGGACAAGAAAATTTAGACCCACTTGGAGACAACTCGCAACCATCTGAGAGTTAGCCAAGTTTGCATTCAGCTTTACCGCTGTCCTGCAGCCAAACATTTAAAATTCACAGTAAAAGAAACTGTCAAAATGCATAACTATCTTCAGTTTATATAATTCTTTAGAAGTGAAAAATATCATGACTACAATCATTCTTGAAAACCCCCCCTAAGTAATTAGCTTGTACAGACAATTATACTAAAAATACATTTAATCAATTCATAAAAGGAATACAATTAGATTTGAAATTATGAAATTTTTGCGCAATGGAATGAAAAAACCCAAAAACAAACTGTGAACACAAAAATGTTACAATTTATTCTTCTGTGCGTCTCAGACATCATTCTTCACGACCAGCCTCTCTCTCTCCGAGCTACTTGTGACCTCAGTGCTTTCTTGTCGTACCTCCATTTTTTTTAAACAGTGAAAACAGGACTTCTTCTTTAGCTCACTCGTTGTTATGAACCATTTTCACTGTTACTAAAAATGGAGATACGACAGAAAGCACCGAAGTGGCGTACTCACGGTGATCTCCCAGTAGAACTTGCCCAGCACCACGGCCTGTATCTGTCCCAGTCGCAGACGCACGCTGTAGTCCAGGCCATTGGCTGCCGACAGTTTGTTGTCCTGGCTGGCACTGGAGGATTTGTTGTACTTGACCAGCTGGGGGGGGGGGGGGGGGGGAGGGAGCACAAACAGACACGGGATCAGAGAGGAAGTTTTGATGACCACAATGATTCTAAAAAAATTAACGTCTTGAAAGTGTTGAGCTACGACTGCAAAAATTTTAGTAGCAAATAAATGAACACACATTTGTAAAGTCCACAAATACATGAGCCCAGCTGTTTTGGACTGCAGGTGGGCAGAAGTTTAACGGCACATGGCAAAGGTGTATAGCAGTTCCCTCAGTCTTAACCTCAGTCATTCCCGAAGAAGACTTTATGACAAAATGTTGGCCCGTTTCAGCTCCAAAATTCTTTTATTTGTAACACACATTGTTATAATCAGTCCCCTTCTTACCTTTAAATCAAACAGGCTGTCATCTTGAAGCATCAAAATCTGAGAAAAAGAAGTTAGAACAAGCATATCTTAATATACATTCACAAAAAACAAATTTAAAAAGTGGATAAAAAAGTAAAAGTATCAGCTTTTAAGTAGAAACTCAATAAATACAGGAATATAATGATGCCCATGTACGAGTCACAAATATTGACTTAAAAAGGATTCTTCAATGCAAGAAAAATGGACTCATGAATGTTGTTAGGAAAATAAATAGGAAATCAAATACACTGGAAAGAAATAGAAAAACAGCATATCAATGGCCTCGGGTGCAACTATCAAACTTTGAATTTACCGCTGAAGCTTTTAGTTTTAAATAGCATAGAAAAAATAAATCCCATTTTACACCATGTCAATTTATATCCTTGCCATCAGGCAAAAACAAAAGAGCTAAACAGTTGTGAGATCAAAGTTTCTATGTCCAGCAACTAGTTTTAAAAAAATCTTTCCTTCTCCTACAAAAAGTAATATAACTGTCTTCACCAAACTTTATTAGCTTGTGCCCAAGACCATCAACATATCAAAATCCCCGGAAACCATCCTTCCTTCTGGAGAGTAAACAACAGTGTAAGGAGGGAGACACAACAACTATATAATGTTTATATATGTTTACATTTGGGTAGATGGCGCCAGCTGTGCAGTCTCGGATGCTGAGATCTCGGAGTCGGGATCGGACGATCATCTTGGCCGGTCGGGCTATCACACTGCCCTCAAAACCTGGGGGAGGAAAAGTTTATCACTTCAGTTACCACAGGATGCTTGAATTCAAATACTACTACTCATAACTTTTGAATTTGTTATGACTACAGTTGAACTTGCTCTAACGGCCATCTGTTCTAAGGAATCGTCTGTGCAAACAACTACTTCACATTCCTCCTGTTGCTTTTTTAAATGTTTTAATGAAACTGTCAAAGACATCCACCTGTCTAAGATAACATTATTTTCCTTGACGATAAGTGGCCATTCTGGACAATTTCAACTGTTCTTCTTTTTCTGTGTTCACAACAGAGAGCAACCCTCCTCTTCTTCCTCCAAAACTGCACCTGCTGCTCCTACCAACCATCACCTTCACACTGCACCACTTCCACAACAACCACACATGGTGCTGCTACTACCTACCACAACCACAGTCACTATCAACAACCCCCCCCCCCCAACTTCCAACAACTATCACGGTAAATGTTGCAGCTGCTACTACAATCTACTGTAAATAAAACCATTACTCTCTTTACATCTTTCTTTCTCTTTCTCTCTTTATCTTCCAGGTACACCAGAGAGCACAAACCTTTGACCTTGAGTTCTGCCAGGCTGTTGTCCGAGTCAGTCAGTTTGACCGTGAAATTCTCCAGCTCAGCTGAAAAATTCACCTTTGTGCTGTTTAGCGGTAGGCCATCCACTGAAAGAACAGAGAGGGATGAAGTGACTTCAACTGCACAAGTACAGAAAGTATGCTATAAACAAAATGTCTCAATAATTGGCTCTTAGTACATGAAACAATACCCTTCTCTAATGAGAGGGAGGGAGAAACAGAGATTAATATAGATTGTAAAGTGCATAGAGCTCGCTGTTGAGCGGGAATCTGCGCTATACAAATGCTATCTATTATTATTTTCAAGATTTATAACAAGTAACAGTCATTTCTACCATACCAGTGACTACAGAGACCTGAAAAATAATGATATAGTTAGTTATGCTATGACCATGAAGACATGTCCAAGGAAATGATGAAGATTATCCCTCACCCTGATCTGTGATGTTCACGATGCGGTCAGTCAGCGAGGCCCGGTCCTTGAGGCTGATGTCTGAGTTGGTCATCACCGTACTGCTGCTGGTTTTCATATCCAGGTTCTGAATACTGCAGGTGGAGTAGACACAAAGCAACAATACATTTAGGGTATTGATGGTACCTTCTTTGGAAAAGAAAAAAGAAAAAGAGATGTTTTGGTCAAAGATGGTATCTTCTTTGACTAGGAAAAACATGAACAAGTCCAAAGTCTTATACAAAATGCATATTTCCTATAAACTGATGTATTTTGAGGTCTTATCATGGTAGCCAACATTCGTCTTCTTCCCGTGCCAAGACTGAATAAGAGATTTGAGATCATGGTTTGACAACCATTCCTCTGCTTCCATTTTCTATTAAAAAAGAAAACGTTTGTACCATTGTCTTCAAAAGCCAACTGTACTTTACTTTACTTTTTACTTTTCCGATCCAGCGGCCATTTGGGTTCTAGCCCTTCGGTCTGTCGATATGGCAAAGAATTGACAGGTTTTAATCAGCTGTGCTTTGTCGCTGTACAGAGTGTTTCCGATGTCTGGGGAGGCAGGTAGGTAGGTGCTACGCAGGTAACAAAGTGCTGGGCAGTTAAAGAGGTGGTGTGGTACTGTTTCATCCTGGCAGTCGCACAACGGGCAGTCGGGTGGGGTATCCTTGCGGATCGTATTAAGGTAGGAATTTAGTGGTATGTGTTGTGTTCGCAGGCGAAATATCGTGACTTGACAAAAGCCAACAAAACACCTCAAATTATAGCACACATTGCAACATTTCAAATAATTTATTTGTCAGAAAATACATGATTTAACACACAAAATACCTAAAAATATTTAATAAAAAAAAAAGTGAATATGCACAAGTCCTTACATCTGACTCTTGCCCTGACTACAGACCTGGAAAGAATTCCCTGTGCAAACACGTTGAGGTAGATCATGCTGGACTGGTCAAACAGTGCAGACATCGACTGGACCTTGACCTTGATAGCATGTTCCACGCCCCCATAATACGTAGCAAAATCTGGACAGTCTGCCTCAACCTGGGAAAAGCAGAAAAAGGGATGTGTTGGTTCCTTTTTGTTTTATTACCATAAATATGTAACTCCTACCCATTATAAAGTAAAACTATATTGGCACACATTAATAAAAACTACAAAACTCTCCAAAAAGATGATTTAATTATGCAATCATAGACATATATATGTAGATAGAAACACAAAGAAAAACAGCCACGCATTTAAAGACACCAATAAAAGACAAAAGCATTCTAGCACACACAGACACACTCATACACATACAAACACATTCTCACGCACGCGTGCACACACACGCACACACAAACACACACACACACACTCATACACACACACACACACATCCAGCGACAGACCTTGCGGTACATAACAGAGACCAGGTTGCTATTGCCAGCGGTCAGCGTACTCAGAACCTCCATATACTCCCCGGACTGACCTGAAAGAATAAAAAAAACCAAAAAAAAATTAGACATGTGATTGGTCATTTAGAATGGTGGAGTATCATTTATTCTAATAAGACTACATTTTTTTTTCTTCTCTTAGTAAGCGTTTCACAGCACTTGCAACACAATAAGATCATATAAATGCCGAAGATTAGATGTTATTATTTTTCTTTAGTAGAGGCTTTACGGCATTCGCAACTGCATAAGGTCATATGAGCGCCAAGGGGTGGATGTCAAAAGAGAAGTCCTTACAGGGAATCAGACTTACTCTGCCCACCTCTATAGCTTCAACAGCACAAAGTCTACTTCGACTATCAAGGCACCCCAGAAATACCGGGTCACAAGAGTGTGACAAACATACAAAAGAAGTAGAGGAAAATGACGATAGTAAGGATTAGGAAAGAAAAAGCAGCAGTTCCCTTTTGTAGTTCAGGCACAATTATGAGCATGACATTGTTGAATCAGCCCATTTACAATTCTACTGTGCATAAGAACGAGAAATTCCCTTTGGGAATGGCCTAAAGACACTTCAGTCAGTGGCACCGCCCTGGGGGGGTTAAGATTAGATGTGTTACAAGAGAGTAACAAACACAAAAAAGAAAGAGGGGAGATAAAGATGATAGACCTTTGATAGGGAAGAAGAAGCAAACCACAACAGAGCACCCGTCAACCACCCACTGACAGGAGTGTAAAAGCTCTGCAGTTAGAAAGCAATTCAAGTGTATAGGTCATGAGACCATGGACAGACATACAAGTTCCTCCACAAACGCTCATATATCAGGTTTACGAAAAAAAATGAGCAATTCAAAAGAGTGTATTTTTACTTACTCTGTACATCAGGGTCAAACAGAGTTACTCATGAACCCTGCAACAGCAACAATATACACACTCAAAGATCAATACGCTCACTGACCAACACACTCACTGACCAACACACTCACTGAACAACACACTCACTGAACAACACACCCACAGACCAACACACTCACTGAGCAACACACTCACTGACCAACACACTCCCTGAGCAGCACACTCACTGACCAACACGCACACTCACTGACCAACATGTATCTTGTCCACAAGCTGTATCCCGCCCAGCGTAGCGTACGCCGTGTATCCGTGTACGGTGAGAGCTGAGTCGACCTTGAGCCGATCAACGCGGAACATCAGGTACGCCTTCTCCTCTTTGTCCATCTCCTGGAAGACACAAAGAGGACAAAGCATTGGGTCAAAGACAATGACTGGACAAAGCATTGGGTCAAAGACACAAAGAGGATAAAGCATTCAGGCGAAGGTTATCACACGGACAAATGGGACATTATAGAGGCTTAACTTCAAATTATGAACTTACAAAAATGGTGAACTCACAATTTTGCTGAAATTCACAATCGTATTTAAATGAGTTATAGAGCTGAAGTCACAGTAGGAAAGCTTAGGCATACATACAACTGCAAACACACCGCAACAAAAACAAATACACACATGAACACCAGCAGTTGTATAACTTGTTTGTGTTGCTGGTGCTGTAAAACTCTTACAAAAACACGAACATCAAAACACCTTCCATATCCCCACATCACCACCCACTTCTCACATCACCTTCGATATCACATCCTACATCCCAACATGACCTCCCACATCCCTACATCATTCCCCCACACCCCCATAACACCTCTTTCATCCTCACATTACCTCCCACATCCCCACATCATTTCCCATCCCCTACATTCCCATAACACCTCTTTCATCCCCACATCACATCCTATATCCCCGCACTACCTCCCACCTCCTATATCCCCCAATCACTTTCCACCTTCCATATCCCCAAACCACCTCCTTCATCGAAACATCACATCCCGTATTACCACATCACCTCCCACATTACTTCCCACATCACTTCCTACATCACCTCTAACATCACCTTCCACATTTCTTTTTTTTAATTAATAAGATGAATATTTGGAATAATTTTCTTTAGTCAGAACACAACGTTTCATGCTACTGTTGTATGTTGTACTGTATTGTAAAGCGCTCAGAGCCTGTGTACTTTATTCGGGGTTGAGTGCTATATAAATGTCATTTATTATTATTATTATCCCCAAATCATATCCCACACCCCCACACCCCATCCCACGCCTCACACAACTGACCTTGGACAAGTTGACCACCAGCTCCCCCAACGACATCCTCATCAGCATGTTGATGGTGTTGGCCACAGAGGCGTTGTCGTCCACCGGCTTGATCACCAGCATACTGGAATGAGAATTGTAAATGTTTTACGTCTCTGTCGACACAATTTGGATTACACTGGAGGAAGTCAAGTGTGAAATTATTGCATGTGTGTGTGCGAGTGTGCGTGTGTGTGTGTGTGTGTGTGTGCCTGAAAGTGTGTGTGTATGTGTGTGCATGAAAGTGAGTGTGTATGTGTGTGTATGTGTGTGCATGCAAGTGTGCGCATGTGTGTGCGTTTGTGCATGAAAAAGTGTGTGTATGTGTGTGCATGCAACTGTGCACATGTGTGCGCGTGTGCGTGTGTGTGTTTTGATATATTTGTGAGTGTCTAATATTCAGTGTGTGTGTGTGTATGAATCTGTATGTGTATCCATAGCGAAAACACACATGACATCCACCCCTGAGAACACAACACAGGCCACAATCTCACAGCCAACAGTTACGTACTCTGACAGTTTGTCCAACTCTTCATCTGAGTAGTCCGAGGCAGAGTAGAACGGCTCATCTCCTGAAACAGAAGAGGAAAAAAAAAATGGCTTAAGTTTTATTTGAGTAAAGAGAAGAACATTAACACCATAAATATCAGAAAGAAATCTAGAGAAATGTTGATTAAAGGCACAAAAAATGAAAATTTTCAGTTTCCAAGGGCCCTCAAGCTATGGAAGTCACCAAATTTTGGCAGCCATTTTCTCACTAATTTTACCTCTGAAACCAGGCTAGCCCCCTCACCTTCAATTGTAAACATTATTCATCTCAACTTATGTTCACGATATATGAATTTTTTTAAAATCGAAAGATAGACGAAAGAACAAGCTTTAACACGATATCAATAACTCAACATGCCTAAAAATTGACGAGTGCTTGATTCCACTATGTCGTGACACATTTTATATTCTAATTGCTACATCACAAACAATGGTAGTCTATAATTATCTTTTCTCTATTCTGAGAGACGAACGAACAGATTTGCAGTCATACCTGTAGTGTACATCAAGGTCGGAACTTTGCTCTGGGACCTGCGGAAGGCCGAGTCCCGTCGGTCAACGACTTTACGTCCCAGGACTGACCTTCGGATGGTTCTCAAGGTCACCGGGTCAGGGTCGATCTGAGCTTCGGAGATATCCTGGTGAACAAGTTTGGTTTGATGTTTAAGTAATGAGCAGTACATTGATGCAATGACGATAAATAATTGAGAGAAAAGTGGATAGAAAAGACAGATGAAAAGGAAGAAAAGACATGAAAAGAAAAAAAGGAAGACTTATCAGAGGCACTCTCCAACTACCAGTTTTCTGATGAACAGTTCAGAAAAGAATAAGTGCATAGACTGCGTATGTGTTTGTTTGTTTGTTTTTTCTAACCTCAAAACACAAGTATAGACACACACAGACACACCCACCCTCCCACACACCCACACACCCAACCACACACCCAACCACACACACACAAACACACTCACCAGGTGTATAGGTGCGAGTGCTGTTCCACCTCCCATCCCATCCACCATATCCTCTCCTATGGTAGCCATGCTAGTGCTGGTAGGCACCGGAAAGTTCCGGAAGAACGCGGCCATGAGCAGCATACGCTTGTCCGAGATGTTGACCTCGAGGGATGGGACCTTTGCCTCCATCTTGTGTCTGTGGAAGAAATGGTTTACTTTCTTTACTTTTTCCGGCTTGTGTTATCTTCTGGTGTTGAGGGGAAAAGCAAACATCTTTCTCTCGTTTGTTGTATCGTCCGCTGCATGGTTATATGGTTTTTATTATTATTGCCAAATGTTTCTCTGACCCCCCTAAAGAAGAAATAGCACCAGACGAAAATAAAGGAAAGCTCTCAATATTTGAAAAAGAAGGACTGAATGACTGAAAGAATGAATGAATGAATGAATGAATGAATGAATGAATGAATGAATAAACGAATGAATGAATGAATGAATGAATGAATGAATGAATGAATAAACGAATGAATGAATGAATTCAAGAAATGTGGAAAAAAGAATGAACTGTAGAAGAGAAACAAGAGTGCTAGTTGAGCTGAGAGCACCACATGGAAAATGTGAAAATGAATAAATAAAAAAATGAATCAAGGAATGGATGAACGAAATAATGAATTATCAAGCAAGATAAATAAAATAATGAACACCTGCAGAAGTGGGAGCCCCAGGTGGTAATGAAATAGAGTCAATTATACTTTCTTCAGGTTTAAAGGGTTAACTCTTTAGACCCTGAGTTTTTTTCACCATTTTCTGGAGTTTTTTCTGCAGTCACCTAAACCTGGTGCACTATGTCTCATTATAACCCTAAAAGCTTGCCTCCAACTTCTAAATGTCGGAAATAGAGGCTTAATAATTGCTACAAAGCAAGAATCGGGTCGGGAATAGTTCAGAAAAACAAGCCAAAACTGGCACTAAATGAAACGAGACAGTTGTCACTACTATCGGACGCTCCCCGCGTCAGATTAGGAACAAGGTTATTACCGCAGGACGCTGGGACGATGGGGTTTAAAGAGTTAAATATCACCAGTAAAAAGGATTAATCTACATCAGTATAAAGGGTTAAACAACACCAAGGGGAGTGGGACCCACACACCTGGGCAACTGTGTGAAATCCGGCTTGACCGCATTGAAGAAAGTGACCAGCAGCTGGACACTGGGCAGTATGTGGAACTGGGAGTTTGGCTGGATCTGTGCTGTGTGCCAGTCATCTCCGGAGTCGGCCAGAAGGACTTTGACGTCGCTGATCTTGATATTGAACTGGTCGTAGAGGCGGGACTCGATCTCAGACATTGTGGCATCCTGTGGAGTGTGGAGGGAGGGACATTATGAGGTGGTGGTGGTGATGGTGGTGGTGGTAGTGAGGAGGGATAGGGGAGGGAGGGTGGTGGTGGTGGTTGTGATGGTGGCGATGGTGGTGGTGAGGAGTCGGAAGGAGTGAGTGAGGGTAGGGGAAGGTAGGGGAGGGGGTGTAATCAGTTGTTCTTTTTTTGCTGAAAGAATTGATGTCGATAAGCTTTAACGTATTCACAACCACACTTCAGGTGCATCTCCGTACCAAGAGTGCATTCATAAGAAGGAGTATTGTTTTTAAGCCACCTTATGGGGCTCAAGAGATCAATTTTTGAACAATAGGGAATATTGACATTTGTACGCATCTGAACACCCCCCCCCCCCTCAACCCCAATGACTTTCAAAACCCAGTAATGCTAACATTTCAGAAGCTGTGTCAAAATGAAAACGCTTCCAGTGCAAGTGCAGAGACTGTATTTATGTCACAAACAAGTTTTTGCTCAGCAAATTATGGTCCATGCTTTAGACAAATATATATCAACAGTTCATGTTTGATTAAAATATCAGCTGCACATCAACACAATAACAGACAGCTTATATTGAGAAAAAGTAAGACACAAACACGCATAAACATCAGAGGGAAAGAAAGAAAGAAAGAAAAAAGAAGTAGGAACTACTAGTAGCACGCAAAAACCAGCCGCATTCATCAGCAAGTAACATATTATTGTGAAAAAACATTCAGCATTACCTCAAGGGACACGTCCTTTGGCTGCAGTTCGCTCTCAATTCTCAACGTGCCAAGATCAATGATCAACACATTGCCTCCCCTGAGAAACCGAGAAAAACATCTCAAGTAAATGCAAAAATTGAGCTGATAAAGAGGGCAGATGAAAGAAAGGGGAGATATAATAGGGAAACGTAGAAAATCAAAGTGGATAGGACACACATTAAGAAAAATAACAGTAAGCATTATCAAAGAGGTGGTGAGATGGGTCAGAGAAACATAGAGAGGCAAAGAACAATACTGTGGAGAAAGGAAAAGGCAGATGGTTAAAAAGGTTTAAAAAACCCAACACAAAAACAACAGAAAAAAACCCAAGACGAATCTGGATACTACTGGACTAAGATGTATGCCTCAAATGAATTTGGAGATGAATTGCTGAGGGATAGAGAGATAGATGAAAAGGGGGAGAGAAAGAGAGAGAGAGAAAGAGAGAGAGAGAGAGAGAAAGAGAGAGAGATATATATATATATATATATATATATATATATATATATATATATATATATATATATAGAGAGAGAGAGAGAGAGAGAGAGAGAGAGAGAGAGAGAGATAGAGAGATAGAGAGAGAGAGAGAGAGAAGGGAGGGAGAGAGAAGGGAGGGAGAGAGGGAGGGAGAGAAGGAATGAGAGGCTAGGAGATTTAAGGTAAATTGTGTGTGTAGGTGTGCATGCATCCAACCCTTTCTGTCCTTTTCTGTCCCCTTCTGACCCAACAATTTTGTACTTCTAAATCATGTACAAGACATATTTGTAAAAAAGCTGCTACAGCTAAACAGTCTTTCTCTGCCAGTCCAACCAACAACTAATAAAGCCCCACCAGACACAGACACCTGGTAGTGAGCAGTGAGTACTCACCTGTGTAATGTCCCGTACTCTGGCACCACGATGTAGGGTGAGCGCATGTTGAGGGCAATGTGCATGGTCTGGATGGGGAGAGGGGAAGGGAAAGGGGGGGGGGGGGTGAGGGTGTGTGGAGAGAAGAGAGATATATGTCAACGGATTAATTGTACTGTAGAGAAGAACGGGATTGTCGGACAAGGGATGTGGATTTCAAAAACAGATACCATGACAAGATACCCACCCTCACAACAGTTCCATTCTTTATCTCATTTCACCCATTTTGTTGGGGTTTAAAAAAACAATTGTAAAGGAGAAGCACATGGTCACTTTAAGAGCCATCTAGTGCAAGGAAAAAAGTAAGGTAGAACAAAAACACTGGAGGAGAAGAAAAGGAAGGCCTATCCTAAAATACTCAGGACCAAAACAAACGACTATCAAGTAGAAACTGATCGCTACGGTAACACCCCCCCCCCCAGCCCAATACAATATACTCATTTCCACTGGTTCTATCTAGCTCATCTCCCCCATCCCTCTTCTGTTCATTCATTTAGGTTCTATCCCTCTCCATCATTTTGTACCCATCCTCTTTAAAAAATACAAAAAACCCAAGGCGAAACAAGACAAACCAGCCCGATCCCTCCCTCCATAAAAAAACCCTAAAAAAAAAACCCAAACAAAAACAAACAAACAATAAACCATCCTCCCCGGCAAAAAAACCTTCAAAAAAACAAAAAAAAGCAACAAAAAACAAAAACAAAACAAAACAAAAAACCCCCCAAAAAACGACCTACACCCTCTCCACCTCTTGTGGCTAGCCTCAATGATGAACCCTGAGACAACAGACACCATAAAACAAAGAAAACAACAAACAGCAAGACACAAACAGCCAAAACCCATACACCCTCCACTTCTAGTGGCTTGCTTTATCAATGATGAACACTGTAACCAAAGATACCACTAACCAGACAATAAACAAAACCACAGACAACATCCAAAACAAGAAAAACAAAAAACCACAGACACCAAACAAAACAAGAAAAACAAAACAAAACCACAGACATCAAGCAAAACAAGAAAAACAAAACAAAACCACAGATATCAAACAAAACAAGAAAAACAAAACAAAACAGCAGACATCAAACAAAACCACAGACAATAAACAACAAGGTATGTGGCCTGGGTGTGCCCACCCTCACCGTGTGCATCTGTATAGCGTGCTGCAGACCTGCCCGGCTGTACTCTGCCACAGTGGTCAGTGTGTCCACGGCCGCCGTCTTGAAGTCCAGACCCCCCTGGGGCAGCTGGAAGAAGGCTGTCACCTCCGAGATGGAATGCTGGGGGGGGGGGGGGGGAAGACAAAAGGGTGAAAGTTTAGTTCTAGTAAGAGTATTACGGCACTTGCAACAGTCTAGGCCTATTTGGGGTAGCTGGAAGAAAGTTGTCACCTCCGGGGTGGAGGCAAAAGAGAAAATGGAGAAAGTTTAGTTTTATTACGAGTTTTTTTTTTAGTAAGAATTTAACGGCATTTGCAACACAATAAGGTCATATAAGAACCGAAGATCAGAGGTGTTACAAAACAGTAACAAACACAAAAAAGAAGGAGGAGAGATGAGGGCGATAGATGTTTGATAGGAAAGAAGGAGCAAGCCACACTAGAGCACCCACCAACCATCCACTTAGTAAGAGTTTTACGGCACTTGCAACACAATAAGGTCATTTAGTGTCAAAAACATAAACCTGTGGAGCCCTCAGTGTAAACACAATACAAAAGTCTTTGCTCATTGTTATAGACACAAAATGTAACAGTCTTATACAGAAGCTCATTATATATCTAAGATACAAAAGCCTTCACACCTCTTGAAAAACACAAGACTCAATAGTCTTTACACCTCTTGAAAAACATAAGACTCAAAAGTCTTTACACCTCTTGAAAAACATAAGACTCAAAAGTCTTTACACCTCTTAAACACCATAAAGCAGGAACACTGTTGTATCTCATTGTAAAGTATTTATGAAATCAGGACACAAAATCCTTCACATCTCTTCAAAAACAAAGCAGGAACCATTTTACCTCATATTATTGCCTTTACACCTCTTCTTTACAGCTCTTCAAAACCGTTGGACATAAAAGCCTTTACACCTCGACAAAAATAAAGCAGAAGACTGTTGCACCTCATCGTAAACTATACAAAAATACAGGACAAAAAAGCCTCGACACCTCTTCAAAACCCATAAAGCAGGAACATGGTTGTACCTCACGGCAAATTATTTATGAACACAGGTAACAAAAGCCTTTACACCTCTTCAAAACCATAAGACACAGAATTCTGTATATCTCTTCAAAACCATAAGACACAGAATTCTGTACACCTCTTCAAAACCGTAAGACACAGAATTCTGTACACCTCTTCAAAACCACAAGACACAAAAACCTTAAGACTTCTTCAAAACCACAAAGCAGGAACGTGGTCGTACCTCGTCATAAACAATCTCCACCGGCTGCACGTTCATGTTGAGGGAGTAGTCAGCCTCCGTGTAGAGCGGGTTCGACTCAAAGTCCACCGTAAACACCTGGTTCACTGACGGGGCTGGAACACATATACAGACAGAGAACATTTTATCTTTAGTGAACACCGATTTGTGAACCGTGATGACAAAATGAGTTACTTCTCGCAAGCCACAAATGGAGATATTGGCCAAAAATCAACACTAAGGTCAAATTTGTAGAATTTCTATTGATGTCATATTCTTCAGCTATAACATTTCTTTGATTATTTCATACTCATAAATGGTAAAAACTTCACCTATAAGCGTGATGTATCAATTTCCGTACGTCTTGAATCAGAGAAGTGGCTCATTTTGTCGGCACGCTTCACATTTAGTATTAGTTACAGTTTTATAGCACTTGTAACACAATAAGAAGTGGCGTCGGTGGCCTTGTGGTTAGGCTACCGGACTCGTAATCGTGAGATTACGGGTCCAGGGGTTCGAGCCTCAGCTCGGTCCAACGTTGTGTTCTTGGGAAAGGTACTTTACACAAATTTCCTACTTGGTTCGGTCCTTTCGGAGATGGACGTTAAACTCAAAGGTCCTGCCTCTTAAATAACCTAACAGTGTTCTGTCTCTTAAATAACCTAACAGTGTTGATAGGGGCGTTAAACCCATACCAAAGAGAGTAACAAACACAAAAAGGAAAGAGGAGAGATAACGAAAATAGATACTTGAAAGGAAAGAAGGAGCAAATCACACCAGAGCGCCCACCAACCACCTACAACCACAGATTGCACTGAAATAAAATCCCAATTTCAAGATAATAGTCCATCATCATTCTAAATACTTGTATTTATGAAGTGCAGAGGATTTCAAATGGAGATGAACAGTAAACAAGTTTGAAAACCTGAATAATATATTCCTTACTCCTCCCCCAATCCTCAAAACCATCATCATAATAATTTTTTTAAAGACTCTAAATTAGTGACTTTATCCTTTTGTCTCAACATAAAACTGATATAAAATCTACACAATACATCATGTAGTGCTGCATTTTGTACCTGTCGGTATAGGCCAGGCCTTGGGTTGAACAGGAAAAGGTTAAAGCAGAGGAAGATAGGACTAACGCTAACACTACTTAAATGCAATCCCACATCATCACTCATCACCACCATAATTTCTAAAATCATCACTGCTCTCTGACCAATGACTTACATCTATAATCCTGGAATCTCTATCTGTAACAGTTACTTGTCATACTAAGTATGCACGTAATACACTATTGGACACTATCATACTCTCTTTTTTCTATTAATCAGATGACGTCAATCTATATATATAATTGCGAACAAGTGGATGGTTGTTTTCTTTTGCTGAAAAAACTATGGAACGTAGAACCATGAAAAAATTACTGAAGGTAGTTCAAAGACCAAGCTAAGTTTCTATCAATAGGTAAGAACTTGCATTCGCCTAAAAAAATTAGAAAAATAGAAAACACCATTGGGTGTTTACGCTTTTCCTGTTCGTCATTTCAATGCAGTGTTCAATGCAGTGTTCAAGACATAATATTTCGTTATCCATGATATAAAAAATGCTCTCCCGCCAGAAATAAATCTTCTTACAAGCCATCGTAATCAAGTAAGGCTTCAGTTCACTTGCAGTGCGCACAGTACCCACAAAAACTTGACGATCGATTCTTCTGAGTCTGTTCATCGAACGCGGTACCCAGCTAGTCTTATATAAATGGACAAGGGATTAAAAACAGAAGGAAAAGGGTTTAAGGTGTGTACTCACCATACACTCCGATGTCAGAGGTCAGGACAGGGATGAGCTCGTGCTCGATGGAAGCACCTTCAATGACAAAACTTTCCGTGTTGCAGGAGATTCTGAAATAAAAGCAAAGTAACCAATCCATCAACAATTTATCTATAGAGACAGCAGGTGGGTGGTTGGCGGGTACTCTGGTGTGGTTTGCTTCTTCTTTCCTATGAAACATCTATAGTCCTTATCTCCCCTACTTCTTTTTTATGTTTGTTGCTCTCTTGTAACACCTCTGATCTTCTGGCGCTCATATGACCTTATGCAGTTGCGAGCGCCGTTAAACCTCTACTAAAACTGACTAAAACTAAAGACACAGCAGTCATTCAATGTTTACGATACCGAAGGCTCATAGAATGAAAAACCCTCTAATACTGCACCAGTTTAAAACGCTGAAACCGAGGTGAAATTTGTAAAAATTAAAAATATCTTGGCAGCCCAAGAAATACACTCTAAAAATTCATAGAGGTTCATCAACCATTCAGCTATCATATAGAGTGACTTTCTTTGGTATTTACTTCAGTGCAGTGCGTCCATTTATTGTTTAATTATGTTTATTGTGCCTGGTTGCGTCAGTGATAAAAGTTGCCAGCGGTAGTGAGCTCATTCCACGGCCTGGTGACTTAGGTTGGCGACGGTATTGTAAGTGTTAAGTCTGGGTGCTGTTTTAGTGACTTTATCCGTTTGTCTCAACATAAAACTTATATAGAATCTAGGCAATACATCATGTAGAGCTACATTTTGTATCTGCCAGTCTAGGCCAGGTCATGGTTGTGGTTGGTCTTTACGCCGTACCTGAACGCGTTTCCTCCTGGTCGGTTCTCCCAGGTGGACAGTAAGTGGGTCAAGGACACCTGGAGAATCTTCTTGCTGTAGTTGACCAGGGACAGACAACTGCTCTTGAGAATCACCTGGATCTTTTGTGCCACATACTAGGGGAGGGAAGAGGGGGTGGGTATAAGTAAAGAGAAGCACATTCATGAAATAAGGTTAATTAATTAAGGGAAGGGAAAGAGTAAGACAGACAGGAACAAGAGAATCACCTGAAGAGATACTCTGAAAGAGAATGATGGGCCATGGGAAAGATCTGTCTCTCTATGTCATATTCTCTCTGTCTCCCCCCTCCTCTCTCTCTCTCTCTCTCTCTCCCTGTGTCTCTCTCTCTTAGTCCTTCCCTCTGGTTCTCTCTCAAACATACAACAAACAAAAATTCCTCCCATTCATACACTAAAAAAAAAAAAAAGCCACTTTGTGTATGTTGACAAGTGATAAATCGGTTAAAACTCCATTTGAGAACAACAATCTGTGTACCCTCGATGTTTGAATTTGAAAAACACTTCAGCCAGTAGACAAACAAAAACACTTACTTTCTTTGGGTAGGACAAAACTTTTGCGTTTTCATCGTATCCAATTCCTGCATAGAGTTTCTGCTTCTCCTCAGGGGTCAAAGTTGACAGCCAATCTTCTGCAGAAGTAAGAAAAAACCCCCCAAAACAGTCACCATATCAAACGCTTAAGAAAAAGAATACATTCATGTTTTATACCGTTTTAAAATAAGAAACGGTTACATTAGCAGCTTGAATACAGTATCCTCTTTTAAGAACAAAAACCATATTTTGTGACACCGACTCACATTTTCATGACAGTAACGAGACTTGTTATTATGACTACAGTGACATCGACAAGAGAGTCTTTTTGGCATTAAGGATTCAACTTTGACAATGGAACGTCACTGAATTTTGTATTTAGAACTTTTCAAATTGTAATTAGGTGTGCTTATAATCCTGTTGTAGTTGTTTTTTTCAGACGGAATAAAAGAGTCACAAGTGTAAAAAAAAACAACTTACTTTTGTTGGGTTGGTCCACCTCAACCACCTCCTCCTCCTCCTCCCCCCAGATCCAACTGAACCACCCACTCCTCTTCTTCACAGAATGCCGGGCTCTCTCCGGTGCCTCGCGGGCAAACTGGGGATACACACAAACAAATCATTTTTTAAAAAGATTTTTATTTTTAAAAAGAAGGTGATTTTTACACCCCCATCAACACAATTTAGATCATTTAGGTGGCAGGGCCAAAGCCAATGTGTGGTGATAGGGATACAGCATCCCAAACCTCTCTGCTTCTCTTTCCTTTCTCTCTCTCTCTCTCTCTCTCCTACTCTCTCTCTTTCTCTCGCTCTCTCTCTTTCTCCCTCTCTCTCTCCCTCCCTCCCTCCTTCTCTCTTCTCCCCCCCCCACCCCACTCACCTTTGGCTTGGCCTGCTCCCATGCAATCAGTATGTTAGTCACATCCAAACCCTCCTCCAACTGAGTAAGCTTTCCTCTCCTCCCCCTCTTCTCTCTCTCTTTCT